CTAGGCATGTAAATCTTAAATTTCCTTTTTTTTAAGAAATATGATTGAAGAGAAAAAATTAAAAACTGTTTACTACAATACTGATGATAACAATTCTGATTTTTTAACTAAAGCTGTAACATTTGAAAAGCTAATTTTCTCTCTTAGGAAAAATAAGTTTAATATGAAATTATATGAGAGAATAAATATTTTTATATGTATTGTTAATTGTATCAAAAAGTAAAATCCTTCTTGCTGGGGAAGATTGTAGTCACCCCCAAGGAAAGATTGCTACAAAGTTTTTCTTTTTTACATTTGTATGTATTTGTCTACTTAATGTCAATAAACTTAATTTTTTGTTTGAATCTCAATCCCCACTGACTACATTGAGCCAAACTGAAAAAACCTAACATATTCAAGGTGAGAAAATCAAATATTATAAATTGAGTTTAATACAAAAACAAAGGAAATGACCAGTAAGGTTTACTCTGATGAAGGTAACCAAAACCTGTGAGATGTATCTTATTTTTGACCAATATTGTGTAACAATGTTATTGTGTTCGTTAGTAGTGAAGTTGTTCTAAAAGGAAAAGAATTACATTCCTGTTTTTATCATATGAATTTAGGATTTTACCTAGGTCATACTTTGTGTAATAATCTGAGATTGAGCATTTGGAGAATTAAAAATTCATCAATTTAAAATTGAGGTGTACTTAGCAATAAGGTTACACATCAATATTTTATTTCTATTTATTTGTAAAGAAACCACATTGATGAAATAAACAAACTGTATAAGTTATAAATTGTGGAATTTATAACTCTTGATGTATATCAATAGGCAACTATTAAATCTATTCAACTTGGAAATAACAAAATTTAAAAGCAATGATTTAAATTTAGACAACATGCAACAACATTAATAAAATCAATTCTGTACAAAACGCAACTAGATAAATACTTTACTAGCAGTGTCAAAATGAAAAAGAAATAAATAGTGAAATTATATGCACCACTGCTACAGACAAGCTGAAAAAGTGACAATCATAAAAATTCATATTACTATGCAAAAGTAAAAAGTTAATTGCCATGGCAGGACTAAAAATATATAATTCATATTTATTTATTATATAACAAAGAAGCTCATACTGTATATCATAAAATCATGAAATTAATAGTTTCTAGTCAATTTTCTTCATGGAAAGTGAAACAAAGGTACACAAAATAATGTTACTTTTCGTTGTTTCAAGAATAATAATTCTCGTACATGGCAGTTCTAAGAATTAAACATTGTTATTTCTAAATTTTTAATTTAAGCCTTAACATGCAAACAATTTTTAGATACACAGAGAGGGTTGAGGCAGAATCAAATATTGGTGTGGATATAAATCATAAATTGACAAAATATATTTATGGAATTTTTATGACAAATATAAGTAATTAACATAATCATTAATAACTTAAGTAATTAATGATTAAATATTTAATATTTTCTGAGCTGTCAGTTTTTGGTCTTTTCACAATAATTTAAATATACTCAGGAAACAGAACTATAGTTTTTTTATATTTTTTTTAATCAAAAATGCAAGCTTATTTTTATAGAAAACAAATTATTAACCCTCTGACAAAACTGTACTTAGAAAGTAACATTCACTCTCTTCCTCTCATAAATAAACAAGTTTTCCCATATGATTAGATAGGGAACCTGCATATAAGATATATTAGAGAGAAAAAATATTTTCCATTTTTGATAAACTTATTTATCAAAAATCCTATATGATTAGATAGGTAACTTGTATATAAGATATATTAGAGCGAAAAAACATTTTCCATTTTTGATAAATTGACCAATTTGAGAAAATGTCAGAAAATAAAATGTAAGGTAAAATTAATATTAATGAAAAATTAAATTAAAAAAGTACAAATTTTTAAAGTAAAAAAAAAGTATACATACGATCTATATAATTTTTAATAAAAAAAAAACTAATTTGGATAATGCTGTTATAGAATTATATGTTAATATGCCAATCATTTTAGAAGTTTTGAGACATAGTAAAACATAAAAATTCAAAATAAATATTATTTAATCTTTACTGCTAAATAGTTTCCTGCATTTACAATCACTAAGTGTAGTCATTCATATTTTTTCAAGTATAAAATACTTGAAGATAATATTAAAAATTATTATAAATGTTAGTACTTTTATAGATCTAATGTTAAGGAAGTGAGTTTGGGAAATTATCAGTTCGGACTTCAAAGTGTCTAAATGGAATTTTTATTTTAAAAGCCAGTTTCTGAACTTGCATATAAAGTTCCAAATGAAAAATCATATTTCATGTGGCATGTTTTTATTTGCATATCAGACAGTAATTCTTCAGTAAAAACTAAAGATCAAATAAATAAATTCTATAATACTTTGTAAACACATTAAATACTTCAAAGCTACTAAAAAATTACTTTCATCAAATGGTAAAATCATGATAACTTTCAAAGCATTTGTTTTAAATAAATGCACTGCAAGAATTTTGGCTTTATAATACAAATTCTAAAGAAAATATGTAACATTCTACCAAACATATTATACAAAATTTAATTAATTTCAACAATTTTAAAATTTTCAAAACATGCAACATATAGTCATTTAAGATACAGGAATTTTTTTTTTTTTTTACTAAGTTATTATACAAACTAAACTGAAGTTAAAAGATTAATACTTACTTAAAGATGGCTTACTTTTGCACTGCCATTTTTTCCCTCGATAAATATAAATATTTCAACAATGAAAAAAATAGCTTTAGTTAATAACACTTGTGATTTGCTTAAAGAGTGCATAGTTTTAAATTCTAATTTAGAATGCTACAAAGCAAAAAGAATACTTAAACAATATCTTATTTCTAAACATTTTCAAAAACATATCAAAGAGAACTTTCTGTTTTTAGAAAAAATTCATTTGAGAACTGTTCTCAAATAAAAACTAATGTTAAATATCAATACGCAATGGTGCACTCAGATACTCAAAATTAACCAACTGAACATTCTGATAATGACATCTTTTCACTTGTAGTTTTTCCTTTTAAAAAACCAGTGCTCCAAAGTTTAAATCTATGAGAAAGTTGTGTACTTCTATGCAAACTTGCACAAACATGAAACATTCAGTCAGTTAAGAGTTTGAGATCTCCTTACAACAACACAATACAACAGTTGGATATAATATCCAAGATATTTTTTCCTTGTATTGTTATGATCAAATAAAATGCTTACTAGAAAAAGTTTCAGGTGATCTTGGCCCCACAGTATTTTTAAAAACATAAGCATAGAGATGTACTTTTCTGAATCTATTGGTAAGAGATTTTTAAAATAAAAAATTTGAAAACAAACGTATAATAAAATTCGTTTTTTAAAAAAAATAATGAAATTTTAAATTTTAATAATTTTGAAACTAGTCCTCAAAAAAAATCACAAGATTCCATTCCAATAAACATATTGTTTTTATTTATAAAGTAAAATACAAATTTAAAAAAAATCTTAAAGTGAGTTATATTTTCTTAAAGTGATTTAGTTAGAAATGGTAAGGTTTAAATTATATTGTACTTATTTACCAGCAAGTGCATTATATTTCCTTTTTCTTTCAGTTTTTACTAAACATTTTTCAAGAAATTTTTAGGATGGCTATATCCCGCCTTAATAGAGTCTTTCCAAAGTAACACAATAAAATGCTTTATAATAAATAAAATTCTCATACATATTCGATAACAAAAGAAATATAAAACTTTCAATAGCTACATGCTATTGATCTATTGATTTAGCATGTTTTACATATGGAACAAAGATCTGTACTAGAACATTAAAAATGCTTCAGAGAACTCACACACATAAATGACTCACACATAGAAATGTATAATGGGTATGATAAAGAGGAATCAGAAGATAATAGCTTGCATCAAAAATCAAAGTATTAATGTAATGAAAGAAACGAAATGGCTTAAGTGTACATGAAGCTAGGAAGAAATAGCAATGGAAAGTCTACCTTGTACCAGTTTCCATACAGTGCTCAGTAGAATAAATGAAATCAAGAAATATGCAGGGATGAACTGAAAAATTATGATTGTAGTGTAAAAAAAAAGAAAAGAAAGAAAAACAAGACATTCCTTTGGGTTAACATCATAGTCTTGAAAATATTGAACCTTTGACATCTTCTGTCTTAAACTTAAGACTAATAAATGCTACAATGAGTAGATTAGTATTTTTTTTCTTTATAATTAAACAAACATGAAATGCTAGAAATAATAAGTATGTAATATATTATACTGGAATTTAAAAAATAACACTTACAGTAATATGTGCACAATTTGTTATTGCTTGGTCATGGCAGACCGGTTTATTTTTTCATTGTCACATTGTGATCTTAACTATAAGAAACTTGATTAAAAGGACTGAATTTTGATCTGGTACAGTCACTAAAAAGTAACTATTTATGAGTATTAACTAGTTAAAAATAATTTTAATAGTTGTAAATTTAGAAACTGTATGCACTTCTTGAACTTTTAATTGGTAATGACTTCAGAAACAATAATAAAATCACAAATTGACTGAAAAAATGAATATTTAAATATGTTTGAATAACAGGTCAACCAAAAAAGAAAGATTATTAAAAACAACACAATTATTTTAAAAGACAAAAATGATGCACAAAAATGAACAATAATCATTGTTAAAAAGCTGGAAGCTAAATTATTTGCGTTATTTTATGAAAAAATAGCAATAAGTGCTAGAGAACAAGATGACACTTTATTCTGCAACAGTCCACTCACCAGTGAAGATTAGTTTAAAACTATATTAAATAAAAATAATATGACAAATGGTTATTATACATAAATGATTAATAAATACCAAAGAATACTTATGTATTTTCCCCACAATTTCATTCCTTTTAAGTTAGACAAGTTTTTAACACAAAAATAGTATTTTCAATATGTACACTTAGAAAAGTAGCAAGAGGACAATTTTGTTAGTTCTCCCACTTTTTAATGATTTCCAATATAATCATCAACACCATCACTTTCTGTAACTAAAGCTCGTTCAAGTATTACACGTCCTTCCTTGTAACGCTGATTTTCCTCAGTAGCAAACTCATATATCCAGCCAAGTTTAGCTTCACAGTTTTTACATGACACATCTCGAACCATGTGTCGTCCTGTTAGCATAACTCGATCTTGTACTTCACTAAATGAAGAAAGATAAATGAACAAAAAGTGTACTGAATATAAAAAATAAAATAGGAACTAAAGATAAAAATGCAATGTTCTGAACTTGCTTATTGATAGTAAGTTCTGCAAAAAATACAGTAAAATTATCAGATAACAAGCATGGCATATTATGAGAAGTTCACCATTACGAGTTTCCACATTAACATCAAATTCCTAATAGTAAATGTACAAAAATTTTATGTCTATAACGAGTTAAAATCTACTAGCTTTCAATCACTTTAAGAGAAATAAATTTTCATTCTGATTGACTGAGTGATATGCAAAAATGGTTTAAACAGGAGACATATTTATTTACTTTTAATATCAATACAGAAAAGCAAAAAATAAACATCATTTCCTTCAAATAATTTTAACTCCTTATTTTTATTAAGTAATGTTTGCAGCAACTAAGTAATCTTCCTCCTAACAAAATAGAAGTTCTATTTTTAGAAATCCAGTCATGCACTTCAAAAGAATGTGATTTTTGTTGATGACATCCCCTTATTTTGCTCTTGACAACTATTAACATTCACTGTAACTCTGTTATTGTTATTACTCTGTTCATGGTTCAGAAAGTATTGCACTATTTCTTCTTACATAAACTTGTCATGATTTGGAAACTTGTTCAAATATTTCTGCTTTTCATGAAATCCTTTCGACAAATATACGCAAAAGTAGTCTATTTTAGACATTTTATATTAAAATAGTTGTTCGAAATAAAAGAAAAATATGTCTATTTAATTTTTTAGCATTGTTATTGACATTTTAACATTAAAATACGTTTATTTGCTAATAACTACAAGTCCCCTTAATGACAAGTTTATCTGCTATAATGAATTGCAACTCTAGCATACTTTTACAACATTTACCTATCTTTTACAACAATTATTATTAATTGGATACTTAAGAGGCCTTTATACCGACTGCAATAGCAACAAATCACATGTAGTCGTGACTTAACACACGCACACTTCTTTCTTCCTCCCTCCATTGTAACAACCAGCGATCACCGTCACACTGGTTTCAAGAATTGGATAGGGTTTAATTTTTGTTGCTGTTGAACACTCAGAGAATCAATCCAATTCATTTATATTTCTAATCTCAAAAAGAAAATACCATAAAATCACACATGATTTTAATATTTACATCATTCAGAACATAGTAACTTATTTTTATATAAAATATTTTAATATATTTGAAAGATATTTTTCACATATACATATTTAAAAAAAAATTTTAATACAAAAATTTATCTCAAATGTTTTTATTTATATAAATTTTAGTTGAAATTTTTTTAAATATATATAAGATAATATACATTTTGAAAAGCATTGATTAAAAATTTTCAAAAATATTTGATTTAGAATATTGATGGTATTGAATTAGAAACAATGTTTCTAACTTCATAAATTCCATTTTGTTGGCGAAGCTGAATTTTTCAAAATTTTTAAGTGGAATTGATCTGCTAAGCTCACTTAGGTTTAAACTATTTGTGGGCGTTTTGTTAAATATCAAAAATGCATTGAAGAAACGCCTTTTTTTTAATATTTAATTCTCAAAAAGTATTTCAAATTAATTGCTAAAAACTAGTTGCATACATTTTTTCATCAATGAGTTTATTTTACACATTTTTAATTATTCACGCACACATGAACAGTACATATATTTAAATACATATCTGTTTACTTTTTTTGTTTTGTTCTTCTTTTCAGATGTTCTCAAATGGTAGTAAAATGACTATTGATAGTCAATTGTACAGAGAATTATTTATGAATTTTGCTAGAACATAACCTGACACTCAAATATCAAGCTCTTTAAATTAATTCCTTTTATACAAGTAAAGATAACTTTAAATTGATTTTATTGAACCAAATTTAAGCATTACTCTTGATATCATTAAAAAATAAAAACAAAATTTTCTGCGAAATAAGGAAAAGGTGGCGGCCATGAAACGTTGCTAAAAGATTAGAAAGTACTATTTTTTAATTAATTATTTTTCAATCATACTTTTTCTTGAAGAACAAACAGTAATTTTATAATTACGGCAATACAAAATCGGGTCTATATATTTTCTTTTCATAAGCAACTTGATAAACAGAATTGTTTAAATTTTTAATTGCATTAAATCAAATTGATCTTTAGCTTAAAATATAACACATTTTTAATGCAAAAAAGCTATATTTTTTAGTGTATATTTGTTATTCTATGGAAGTATGCAAAAACCTGTTAATGTTTATCATGATCGGATAAAATTGGGTACATATAAAAATGATGAAAAAAAATGATTTTTTTCCGACTGAAATATTTTTACAGAAATAAATTAATACTATGATTTTATTACACAGAGGAACTTTCAGGAGTTTAAATAATCAAGGAAATTAGGAACATATTTAGAATTTTTCTTCAATAAGTAAACGAACCTGATTCAAGAACAGAAATAAATAAAATTTTCATCATATTTCTCTGTTATGCTATGGGCTTAATATGCCTATCATTGATAGTTGAAGTAAAATAACCAATCTTCCAGGCATTTCTGTTTGGAGTGTTATAGAATATAGCTACCAGTGGTTACGCCAGACTGAATATTTCCTGTCTATATGTGACTGTACCATTCAGCAGGAAAGAGATCTAGCACATTTAAAACAAGATGTAATCCTTTTTCTTTTTTTACAATTTTTGCAAAAGTAAAGCATAAATGAAAAAAAGAAAAGCACCAACACAATCCTGTACTTCTCATAAAGTAGTATCTGATGGTCACATTGTAAAGGGTCACTAAATAATAAAAGGTATCCATTTTAAAATTCAGAGTGAAGTTGTGCAAGTGGCTCCACTCGTAAATTCCTTAGAGTGAAATATTAAACTCAGAAATTCCTATCAACTTGCGAATGTAAGAAAAAAAGTTTTTTTTTTCTTTTTTAATTTCCAATGCCCACATGTTGCCTAACATTTCCTTAATTCAGGCATTCACAGGACAGATTTATTGGCCACTCTTTCAGAAGCTCCTTAAAATGTGGTTCAACGTTGCTCCCATAGTAAGGGCAGATAGTACAGAGAATGAAAGCACATCCATGCCTCGACCGGGATTCGAATCCAGAACCTTTCTGATGCAAGGTCAGTTCCCTGACCCTTACACAGTCCGGTCAGCGTAAGAAAAAAACTATATTGGGGCATTTGTATATAGAAATAAAATCCTCTTTATCACTACTATACAAAATATAATGTTGCAAACTAAATATATTTGTAATATTCAAAATATTGTACACAACAATGTTTTGAAAAAATATTTTTCCTAACAAGACTTTTGATAAAACAGCGTATAATTTAAGTTTTTCATTTCTCCTAACTTTATTTATTTGAGTTATTTAATATTCCATTAATTTATATTTTTAACAAAATAAAAATACATGTAATTATACTGATCAACAAAAAAAATTTATTTTACATAAATTATTGATACAACATTTGTAAAAATGTGGCGCAAAACTTATTTCGGAAATTTATGAGGAAGCGTGTAATGATATCATATAGTAATATAAATATAAAAAATAATAATATAAATACAAAAATATAACAATAAAATTAGCTATGAAACAAAAACTAGATACAGAAGAAAAGCGCGCCTGCTCTTATGATAGCCAGGAAAAAGGTTTGTTGTGACATGTGGTGTGAAGGTACTTGCAACAGACACACTGTAACAAGGAAGTAAAATCGTGTTTCTCTGTTGCATTCGACATGAAGCCACCCTTAGGTTCTTTACAGCCATTTGGCGTATGAGGCATTCAACCTACTTCCCAATGCAACCTGCAATTCGGCTCGGATCTGGTTTCTTCGTCTTTACATTTTTCTCTTTTAAATTCTGCATTTATTTGTCTCTGCCAAGTTATTCTCGGTCTAACCTTTTTTCTCTTACCATCAGGGGCTCAAGAAAGAGAAATGTGCAGTAATTTTTTTCTTGGCATTCTCAATATGTGCTGTCCATTCCCACCTTCTTTTATTTCATCTTATATTATAGTTAGGTTTTTTTTTTAAATATTATTTTGTAACTAAATCTTAACAGGCAAAAAGATTTTGAAAACTTTTCTGAGTTAGTTATTTTAGAAAACCTCAAATTTTTAAATGCCTGACTTTCTAAAACACAATGTTTCAGAGCAATATAATTAAACTTTTGTGACTATTGTTTAATAGATATTTATTTTTTATTTTGTATTGAATGTTCATTGACTTCCAGAAATTGTTTGAAGTTTTTAAAAGATGTTCTTGCATAGATGACTCTGTTTTTAACATCAACCTCTAATCCTCTACTGCTCTCAAGGACAAAACTAAAACAGTTGAATTTTTCTAAATTTTCAATTTCGTCTTCATCAAAGAAATAAAAAAAAATCTTTTATAGCAAACCTTTAAATAAAATTAAAAGTTTCCTAAAGCTTCGCAATATTATGCTTATAGCAACAGCAAAATTCTTTTTGACAGTTTCATATCAGAACAGTTTCTCATATTTCAGAAAAATATAACTCATAATTATGACAAAATCAAAACACTAAAACAGGTCAACATCTTTCCTAAAAATATGGAGGCAAGAATCATCAAACAAGATAAGCATGTTAATGTACAAGGCTAGAAATGGGTTTTACGAACTTTTGGACAAAATTTATTGTGGACCCTTTTCTCAAACCTTAAAAAAAAATTTTTTTTCATATTTTATAACATTCTTTAAGAGCTATTATTTACAACTGCAGTTTTTATAGACACAAAAAAAAAGAATTCTTTTCAATTTTCTTAAAAAACAACAACATTAAAAACACTAAATTTTTCATCAGGATTTTTAGTCCTTAACCCACTGACGGTTCTGCACGTAAAAAGTCGTATTTTGACCAGCAGTCTTTTCTGCATTGCAAAACCCGTTCTTCCATGTTTTTAGATGGGGAAAAAGTGTATAGCACAGTAACACACTCCCAATATTGACCATTTTCTAAACCACCAGTGGGTTAAGAGAATTGTCCAATTCTTCTCTCCTTTAAATAAGACTTTGCTATGTATTACATAAGCAATGAATAAGAATATTTAGAATCCTTTATCACAAATAAATAAATAAAATGCATAATATTATTATAGGATGCAGTTTGAATGCATGGTACTTAAAATAAGAAGGCTATTATAAAGTATGTTAACACACACAGAAATTTCCTATTTTCATAATAATAAATTTGGGTTCATGTTTATTTTAGGACAACTAGTTAGTTAATAATTTTAAAAGATTTAAGAAAAATATTTATAAACAGACACCAAAAAAAAAACAATATATTTGATAATGGATCTTTGGAGATAAAATATAACAAAGAGAATTTAAATTTTGGTCTTATTAGCTCCAACCAACTCTAATGAAATCTGTTAAAATAAGGAAGTGTAAAAAAGGAATCTGACTAAAAAAGAAAATTCCTTTTAACTTCCTAAGTTTATACTATTTCGTGAAATTACATTGTTGCGTAAGATTTCTTAATAAAATTTCTGGCTACAACTAAAGCACTGAACATTATCTATTTATTTTTAAGAATTTCATTAGCTGTTTTCAGCAATGAATAATAAGTTTCTGTTTTTCAAATCTGATAAAATATATTTTATAGATAAAAGTAGGTAAATAATAATTTTTTGCTACTTTTATAATTTTTAAGATTAAAAATATCAATCTTGCTTTAGCTGATGAGAAAATTTACAAATAATTCATAAGTAAAATTAAAGTGAAAAAGTGGCATTATTGTTTAAATCGAGCAGAAAACTACTGATTTAAAGTAACATTTTCTTTAACACATTTTAACATCATTGGATACATTAGTTTTTAAGATTTAGATTTATAAGTTTTTCAATTTTCAACAAGTTAACTGTATAACTGTTATACAATGCTTTAATTTGCAGTTTTTTACTCTTGCTTAAATTAAATATCCATTCTGGGTTCTTAGCTACAAAATAAAACTTATGTTACAACATTTATAAAACAATTAAGCAAACATAATGTAAAAAAAATGAGAAGAAATTGGGTAACTTTTTTCTCCAATAAAATAATCAGTTCCCAACAAAAACGAAGTTAAATAAAAACAAAATAAATTGTTAAAATAACAAAAATTGAACTAGAGACTAATAATAATAGGAATATAAATCATTAAGCTTTTAAGACCACTTTAATGTTGAATATACAATATGAATAATCTTAAGGAATTAAATATGTAATTTAACAGATAAACAGTTCTTTATTCAGCAAAAGGTTTAGATGCTACATTTTTGTAATCAAATTGGTAAATCCATAAGTAGCATATTTACCTATAAGTTAAATTAACAACTTTGTTGAAGAGAAAAGCACGTCCAGTAGCACCAGTAAATCTTGTACTGATCAATTCATTCCTGTTTGTTAATATTGTATCACAGCCAGCACAAGAAAACATTCTGGAGCCACCAATATGTTCCAGAAATATCCGGCCCATTTTAATTCTTAAAAAAAAAATTATATATGAGAACATTACACAAATAGAAATAAAAAATATAAATTAAAAACTTATTGAGATTGCAAGTTGAGCATAACTGTTGCGTTAGTTACTACAAATTATTGGATATTATGCTATTTGAAAGAGACATGCATTTTAGTTAAAATGCTAAAATAATGCGCTGCATATCAACATAGTATGAAAATAATGAAAGTAGGTAAAAAATTGAACAACCTTATAGTTATTTTTTACAAAGCAGATTCAAAATATTAAAGAACAGGAATGCCAGATGAAACAATTTTTGTTTCAGGAGCAAAAATGCTGCGAATCATTTATTAAATTTAGTTCGAATATAAGTCACATTGAGAACATTAGAGGAAAAATGACAAATTCATTCCTAAAGCAACAAAACTGGTTTTAAAATTGAGTAAAATTCACCAGCTGTTGTGTCATAACATTGCTTCAGGACGTAAACAAAAACAATTGTCCAATTAAATGTCCGCATGCTGGAGGTAAACGCGCAAGCGCAGTTTAATTTACTGCTTTCAGATTTCGAGTTGAGTTGATCAAAATAAGACTTTATTTTATTAACGAATCAATTTCAAAAACTCTAACAACTACTTTATTTGCAATCGAAATGGGCTATAGGTGACGCAAGGCAGAATTCTTTAACTATGGCAATAACATGTTCTCACGAATAGCATCTGGATAGTTATAAGAGAAGGAAGTACTTCAGTTTCTCGCTTGATTTTCAAATAAATGAACAACTTTTAAATCAATAAACTTTATGGAACTGAAAACTGCATTAAACATAGTTCTAAAAGAAACCATCGCGGAAATTTTGGAAAATAGTTTAGCCAATGAAATACAAAAAAAATATTATGGAATGGGAAAATATCGTAGCACATCTCTATACAACTGAAAAGAGGAGAAGGAGGGTCAAGATAAGAATCCCAGATGGCATATCCGAGTGTTGCGATTGCGAATTTAATTAGATTATGTTTATAAACATGACATAAAATGGGTGGATCATTCTATCCCTAATGTATACATGTCCATTTTCATTGCTCATCAAAAATGATATGTATGAATTTGGAGATGTGAATGTAAATCTGTTTGGTGAGTGTTTCATGTTAAAATTCATTCCACAAGCTCACAACTATGGTTGGTGTTTTCTACATTAAAGAGAGCTGCCGGCTCTTTACCACCCGTATTTCCGGGTTGCTCTATGCAGAGCGTATTGGGGCCATTCCGCTCCATGTGTTCGCAATAAATAATTTTAAAAAAAGCAGTAAATATTGAATACAGTACATGTAGTTGCATAACAATAAGCATAAGTGATAAAAAGACCGTAAACATATATGTGGTTCGAGAGTTAATAAAAACTTAAAATTAATATTAGCATAAGAATCGTTGTAAAACACTTATTACCTTGACAACAATATACTAACTTAAAAATATAAATCTAAATGATAACTTGCAAAGTAAAGTTTGTCTCGATATTCTAACTATATACTAACCCTAAAATATGCATGGAGCACTACTTGCAACAAGAACAAATATAGTAATAAACAAGTCGAAAAAAGTCACCTCAGGACTGCCAAGAAAGCGAGTTCTTTCTAAACATTGCAACCATGTTTTCTTTTTATAACAATATATATATAAGCAATTAAAGCAAATTTTTACTTGAAAATCATCAGAATTACTTAATATCATTAATATCCTATGAAATGCATCAGATTTGAGATCAGAAATTATATTATTTATATATTTTACTAACAAAATGATCAATTTTTAAATATCGCCTCGCACAATAAGCTGTAGTAAGCAGCTGTAACCTTTCAAACCAGACGCCGTGAAGGTACAGAGCTCGAGATTTGCTTTTGTTTAAATTTTTATTGGAAGCCCCAACCATACAATGAACTAGGAATAGAAAAATGATTTCATTCTGATGACGCATTTCAACACCTAGAGCATTCACACTGAATGCTGTTGCTACACCTCTAATCAACGGGGAGGAAATTTGAAAACCTGATCGGTAAAATATAGCTTCCGCGAAAAACTCACCAATCAAGCTCACTTTTTGTCTTGACGGAGATCTTAGAAGAGGCAATCACATTTCGTGTGAATGCTCCTGAAAACTGGCAATGGATTTTGCTGGACTGAGTCATAAAAGTGTTTCAAACTTTCGAATAGGATGTCTTTAAAGTTGGGATTAAATTAGATTTCTGAATTTGGAAATTTAGATTTCTGAAATTTGACTTATGTATTTATTTTATGACTATATTTCCCAGACATAATTTCCCCCCTCGCAGATATATATTTTTATATAAGAATTCAATTAAATAAATTAATTTCTTACACAACTTATATCGAATTGAAACGGAACACTTTATTGATCCAAATTTGCTTGCATTTTTGGGCACATATCTATAATGTAATTTTCACCTTATTTTTACGAAATTTTATTTTTTCTACTTTGCAATATTTTCAAAATATTTAGTGAAAAAAGTGCTTTGTAGATAAGTTATCTTTATTATTTTTTTTGTAAAATCTTGTCCTTTAAAAAAATGAAAAAGAGGTAAGTTATAAATGAGATTGATAATAAATAATTATAATAAGTATATTGCAAATAATGTGAATAATATTAATAACATGACAATCGTTTTGTGAATTATTATGAAATTACTGATAACTTTATATATTACATATTAAGAAGCATATTATTTCTTTCTTCATTTTTTGTGTTCATCTTTTGAAACTGTGAAAAGTTTCATTTAGATATTCCTAGATAAAAAGATTTTTTTGCTCTTATATCTGTAATACTGAATTATACTCAACAATTTCCTTTGGAAAATAATGCGAGGTATTTTAGGAACAAAATTTCTTAAGATTAACTTTAAAAAAATATATAAATCATTTTTTTAAAAAATTTGCTTAAAATTTAATTAAAAAAATGTTTGAATAAGAAACACGTTTTAGTTATTTCTAAATCTTTTGTGTGACATTTGAACATTTAAAAATAGATATCTATAGTAAAATGAGAAATTAAAAATTGTAGGGGGAAAGGAAAACTTATGCATGTTATTTCTTCCTCTGTTTTGATAATCTTTATTAAATATTAGTAAAGTATTTCTAAATATATTCTGTTATATTCATAGGTTATTATAGGACGAGTCTTCTTTGGCTCCTGTCAAATAATATTTTAGATTATCTTAATGAAAACGATTAATTGTAATTCAAAAAGTCTAAAACAAGAATTTGTGGCACATGAAAAAAAATTCTTAAGAATGATTTTTGCATGACATGCAACATGCATAATGGTAAATAATAAAAAAAATAATCGAAACGTAAATTTGACGTTAAATAGAAAACTTGAGAGCATTTTTAAGTTAAAACGCGTTTAATTAAAGTATTAAAACTATTTAAATTTGTAATATAAAAAAATCACAAATAGCCTTTGTGACTAGACAGACTGTAACAGAATACTTTCTATTTTGTGGTAATAATCATTCTGATCCGTTCTGAACGCACGATGCGAACGCATATGCGTCAGTTTGAGACTCTTACTTAACAAGCAAAGGAAATTGACACCCTTGTGTTTTGAGTTTTGCTCAATGCAAGACAGTCTAAAAAACAAACATTTAATTGCAAAGAATTTATTACTAAAAATAATTTAATAACATGCACCGATTAAAAATACAGAGTTTTCTGAAAATGATATATAAAAATAAAATGTCGAAATGCTGTCGAATCGACAGCAGCGAAAAATCTTACATTTTTCGCTGCTGTATACATTTCTGAATTGTTGAAGAAATATCAAAGATAAAATGAAATAGATATTTTATTTTAGATTCAGAAACAACGCAACCCTATATTTATTGATCAAAATATAAAATTTTATTTTAGCTTCTTCGTAATGTTTTCAAAATATTATGAGGAAAAATGTGCTTCGTTGTTAAACTATCCCTGTTTTTCAGTAAGCATATTTTTTTTAAAAATATGTTTTGAGATTTTTTTCTAAATATTAGCTATATATTTTAAAAGATATTCTATTATATTCATAGGTTAATATTATACTAGCCATTTTTAGCTTCATTCAAACAATATTTCAGGTGATCCTAATAAATGTGATTATTTCGAATTCAAACAAGCTTTTCACAAATTTGTGCGACACGTGAAGAAAAGAAACTCTTTCGAATTACTAATGCATAATTTGTTTACATTCACAAAGGTAAATCGGACGTGAAAAAAAAATACTCCTGTTAGAAATAAAAAAAACAAACAGTTAAGAGTATTTTATAATTGAAAATTTGTTTGATTAAAAGTATAAAAAATATTTGTATTGTTTTAAGTCCCTATCACGAATTAACGGTACATAAAAATTAAAAAAAAATCTTGAATTACTCTCAAAGTAGACCGACAGCAACGTGTCTGCGTTACTTAAAAAAAATTTTTTTTGGGGTAAAAAATCCTTGTTTACAAAAGATGCAATCACGATTTGAGCGCATATGCGTGAGTCAAAACTCTTACTTAAGACTTATAATAAGCAAAGTGTGACCCTTGTCTTCTGAGTTGGGTTTAATATAAGAGTTTGATAAAAAAAAAATTTAAAGGCGGATATTTTATCACATCCAATTCAGTAACACACAATGATTGAAAACATAATATTCCGAAAAAAAGAGATAATTATTAAATTAAAAATTATATCAATGTGCATAAATGTACAGTTAAAAAAAATTGCAATTTGTGACTTGTAATATAAAAATTAAAAATGAACAAAAAAAAGAAAGAAAAAGAAAGGAAGAAGAATGATGTATCTTTCTTTTTTGGAATACTCTTTTTAAACATTTCTTTTTTCTCTTTTTTTATTTTGTTTACAATGTATAATTTTGCAATTGCGAAAAAAATGAAAATTCACAACGATCATGGAAGAGAAAAATGGAAAATGCATTTTTTTAGGGCAGAAGATCTGAATCATTGTATTTTTCTTCCTGGGG